TCCCAGGGTCCTGGGATCAGCCCCGCGTCGGGCTCCCTGCTCCACGGGAAGCCTGCTTCTCCCTCTCCTCCTCCCCCTGCTGTGTTCCCTCTCTCGCTGTGTCTCTCTCTGTCAAATAAATAAAAATAAAAATAAAAGAAGAGCATGGAATCCAAGCTTTCTCGCATTAGGCCACTGACTACCCCCACCCCACACCTCCAACCCCCAGCCCCAGTTAGCACTGAGAGATATTGACACAGGAACATAAATTGAGACTTCCAGGGAAATTAACATGATATGTGGAGAAATTCCACTTCTTTCTGCTTTGACATCTCTTTTCTTCTTTCCCAGTTAGTCTGTGAGCTCCTCAGAGGTCACAAAGCTATATTTTGTCTTCGTATTTCACACCTATAATAAAAATAGATAACAGTTGGGGAGACAGTAAATCTCTTAGTGTTAAATGTAAAACTCTTTACATCTATTGGCTCATTTAATCTTTGTCATAACCCTATAAAATAGGAATTATTATCCCTTCCCCCTTCTTTTTAAAGATGAGGAAATGAGGCACATAAAGGCTAGGTAACTTCCTTAAGGTTATAGAGTTATTATGTAGCAGAAAAGGAAGGTAGGAAGGAAGGAAATAGGTGGGAGGGTAGAAGGAGGGGAAAGGAGGGGAGGGAGAAATGGAAAGAAGGAAAAAACAAAAGGAAGAAGACGGGGGGAGGAAAAAAGGAAGGAAGAAATGGAGAGGAAAAGAGGAAGAAAGGGAAGGAAGGGAGGAAGTCATAGGCTAATGAGAGCTCAGAGTCAAGAGCCTCAGAGTGTTCGTCTTCAGGGCCACGTGGCTAGCACTTAACAGATCACTAGTACAGTGGAAGTATGGGAGAGAGCAAGATATGACTGGTTTTCTGTACCACTTGACAATTATAGTGCTGTTAGAATTTTTTTAAACCACCCATTCCCATGTTCCACAAAGCCATAATGGAAGGGAATGCAGTGTCTTGCTTGAACACACAGAATTCCCATCTGCAGTGTAGCTTGCTTTACTTGAGGGTTTGATACAATGTTATTTTATGTTAATGTCAAGTCCGCATATGCTCATTAGAAACTGTAGGTCACTCTGCTTATGCTTGAGACCTGTTACTTTTTCTTCAGTTTAACATTTATAGGTACTCTTTTCCTCCTCTGCAGTATTTAGAACTCCACTAGGTTTGGGCTCCATTCTGTAGGCCTCGTGTCACAGCCAAGGTGATGGGTCTGCAATCAGACACTTGTAGAGCACAATCAAGCTTCAGTCTTATTCGCTGTGTGATTGCTGGGCAAGTCTCCTCATTGTGGATTCAGTTTTTTTTTACCTTACGCTACCTGCATACTAGAGTTTAAATTAAGATAAACTAAAATGCAAAGAAAAGCACTTTGTAACCTGAGGAACACTTTACAAATTTCAGGTATTATCTCCTACCTCATAGAAATATCTGCCTTGTTCCTGAAGAGTTTACATTTCTCCCTTGTTTTGTTTTGTTTTTTGGTTTTTGTGTGTTTGCCTCCTCTTAATGTGCTCCCAATTATTTTTCAAAGAACATATATGCATGTGAGTGTACTATAAACAGTATTTGAAAGCACGTGGTTTCTTTCCTTGCTATTTCCAATACATATTTCTGATGAACTCCTTTTATTTTTCTTTACTTATAGAAATCGTCAAAAGTAAAAAACATCAAAAATAATGAGATGTGACTGAAACCAGCTGGGCAGTGAACATAAATGTTGTGAAGGAAAAGTAAGCTTAGCCTTCAATCTGAAAACAACCATTCCCCAACAGACCTCAGAAGAAACTGGCCACTGCAAAGGAAAACAAAACAACCTCAAAAGTTTGAACAGATAATACTTAAAGAGAAACCTATGATATGGAATTCGCGTAGTCTGTTCTCTTGTGCCCAAATCTGTATATATTGTTGTATTGTTACTTAGGACATATTTATTTAATATGCATACTTTTTTGCGGGTCTTATTTCCCCTCCCAACCAGGAAGCAATTGAAAATTAACTTTATATTTCAGTTTCTGAGTAAAAACCAGTTGAAAATAGGAGGAAAGCTCACCAGATATTCTCAGTTTTCAGAATTTGTTTTGCCATTTTTCTAGAATTATCATCATTCCTGCTAAAAATAACTTAAAAAAATAATTATATCTGAGAGTGATTTTAAAATACCCAAGTTTCTTATCTGATCTCCTTGGAGCTATGAAAATGAGTTTGACTTCACATTTTCAGTTTGTTTGTAAATAAGTGTTTGAGGCTTAACAGCCAAAGCTATCATGAGTCACAGGAGTTTTCTATAACTTTTTCCCCTGCCCTCTAATAACCAGAATTCATGACTGCAATATCACCAAAAATCTAATAATATGCTGTATTATTTTATGTACTGTATACTAGATAACCCTTTAGATGAATGCTTGTTAGGATTATAAGAAAACCATCTCATTTATGTATCATTATGTATTAAGTATACAGGGACCATATTATTTCGCCTCTAGCAAAATGAAGAGACAGAGAAGTTTTCTTGTTGGTCACACAGGAATTTAATGACAAGCTTTGGACTTTGTTCATAGGTCATACTCCATACAAAAACTGTTGGCTAATCTATCTCATAATTATTTTATATTAGATATAAAAATTATTCATTAGTTTAGTACCAAAGATTTTGGGAAGACAACAAATCATGAAACAGCTTTTCAACAGAAAAAAAAACCTACAGTAAGAGATCTTTCACACAATATTTATATTCTGATACAGCTTACTTCCCCTTACCTTTTTTTCTTTTTAAGTGGAAATGAATCCTGATTTCTAATACCATCAAGATTGTTTAGTGACTTGATGTGATGCTATAGTTTGTTATTTACAACTTCTGAAATTTTCTGAGATGGTTTCACCTTTACTTATTTTGCTGGTTTGTGTCCATAAGAACAAGAACTTTTCAAAGCTTACGTCCCCACATTTGATTTTTTTATCAAATTTTTGATTATTGAATTCCACAGAGAATCCTTTCTCCATTCAGCAATGTTGGCAAACTCCTAGAACTCACAGGCCAATTTTCTATTTTTCAAATAGCAGTGAATAATTAGTGGTTTTTATTTGGTATATGAGAACAATTAAATTAGTACTTTTAGTAAGTACAGTTCTTTGATTGGAAAATCAAGAGAATGCATGTCTTAGGTTTGGTCGTAAACCATCAGGATCTTTCTAGTGGACATCAGATATAAACATCGCTAACTTAATACAAATCCGTTAGGTACTTTGATTCCATCTCTCTTGCTATTGAAGGGTGTTAATCAATTTCAGGTTCATCTGTGGAAGATTTTGGAAGGTTGAAAATAAATTTTCTAATTTTCATCGTGTTTGTGTGTGTGTGTGTCCTTTATCATGTTTAACTATGGAATGACTCTCTTCTTATAACAACTAAGTTAAAATTCTTTAACTGGAATCGAAATCAATTCTTCATTGCTAAGAAGAAGGCCTCCTGTGTGAAAGAAGCCAAGAGAAGAAAGACACTGTCCTCCTGCGCTCCTTACACAAGCAGGGACCCAGAATGCTGGACACATGACCAAATTCCACAGTATGGCCAGGCTGTATACAGAGCTGCCAAGACTCCCAATTATTAATGTTGCCCTTCTCCTAATTGAATTAGGCGAGCAGTTTTAGGAAGGGAATGGAAAGGAGTGAGAAATGGAGAAAAGAAATGTTCTTTTTGAGATGTGTTCGGCTCTTATAATCAGGACTTCGATATAAAAAGTGTTTGTTTTAAGATCAAGGTCAACATTAATGAGACTTCTGGATGTTTATCCAAAGGCTCAAGATACATGTACTCTAATGGGAAGAGGATATATAAAATTCATGGGAGTATCTCCCAAGAGGCTTGAATACTAAAGACTGAATCTAATAGAATGAAAGTATAAAAATATTTCCACAATTCTACCATTTCTACTGCTTCCATTTGTACTAACCCCATAGCCAGTCTCCTACTCTGGCTGCCAATCAATCTGTTCTTAATGAAGTAGCCAGCATGATCTCATTAAAACATGTATTATTTCACACCACACTGCTTCCTGCCTCACTCAAGAGGTTTTTACTCTTCTAAAATGATCTACAAAGACCTACATGATTGTTGCTGTCACCTGTCTGGCCTCTTCTCACTCACTGAGCTCAAGTCATGCTGGCCTCCCCACTGCTCATCAAACACACCAGGACAGTCTTGGTTCAAGTCCTTTGCATTTGCTTTCTCTCTACAGGAAATGCTTTTTGCCCAGACATCCACACAGGTCACTCCCTCAGTTCTGTATGAATGCCTGCCCAGAAAACCACCTCAACCCCACTTGGTTCTTCCTATCTCCTTCCACACTTTATTTTATTTTCCTCCCTAAGAATTGATCTTATCTAACATACTATATATCTTCAAATTTTTGAGGGGGCACTGATTTCTGCCAACACCTGGGCTATGATTTGTTTTATGTTCACTAGTATTGGTCAGAAGAAAGTGAAGAAGGGATTCAAAGGATTCATCTCAGCTTTTTCTACTAGAATAGCTCTTTCTCCACAGACCAAGGAACCATTGCTATGGTTCCAAGAGCCACCAAGTATGTGTATTTGGATTATAACTTGAGAATTGAGGGAACGACCACTGGTAGTGTCTATGGAACCAGTAAACTTACCATGAAATAGACTTGGCCAAAAGACTCCGTCTGTTACTTGACCTACTTTATGAAAGAATAAATTCAAGCACTCTGTGCATGACTGTTATTCTTATTTATTACATATTCTGTCATTAAGATACTGAAGCCTCGCTAAAGAATGGGAGCTGGCTACATACCCCTTTAGGTGACTAGAAAGATACTTATACTGAGGGGCTCTAGCCCCTGTGGCTTCCCTATTCTGATGTGACTGACACTCTTACCATCTTCTTGTCATTTCTTAGAGCAGTGCAAATGATTGGGCCCATGAAATGCTGCACCTGGATGTCCGAAGCTTCCAGAGTTACCCTTCTCTGCGTAGTGCTCCTGTTTTCTCTTCTTTATTAAAGCTAAATAAACTTGATGCTGGGTGGGCCTATTGTGTCTTGTATATTTGATGGACAACTTGAAAGTGAAATTCAGTGGTCTTTTTCTTGCAAGAGTACAAAGGAAACAAAAATATTAGAAACAAAATATATATAATAATTTTTAAAAAGTTAGGCACAACAGAAGAGAAAGTTGATGAGATGGTAGACCTTAAGTTATCACTCAGAATGCATCAAAGAAAGACAACAGAAAATGTAAAAGAGATGTTAAAAGATGTTGAGATGAGTTTAAGAAGGCATAGCATTTATATAATTAGAGCAGGAGAAATTAAGAGAGTGGTGCAAGGCTGAGGTGAGGCAATATTCAGAGATGATATGTGAGAATTTTCTAGACTTGATAAATGATTCTAATTCTCAGATTTTAAAAATATAGCATATCTCAAGAAAGATAAAAAAGTAATTTCCCAACATATCATATTATAGTAAAATTTGAGAAGATGGATACAAAGATAAGGCTAGGGCAATAATCGGGAAAACAGTAGACTTTTCTAAGATCAAAACAGAAGCTGGAAGCCAGGGTGCTAGGGGGGAAACTCTCAAGAACTGTGAACCAAATTAAATAATTTTAAAAAATAAGAATAAAGACTTTCACAGATAATCAAAACCAGGATTTGCAGTGACTTGAATTCTCAGTACAAGACTATATAAAGGATGTACTCTAAGAAAGAAAATAAATCCAGATATAAAGATCTGAGAATCAAGAAGGAATGGTATGTTAAAAGGGAATTTTCAGAATGGGAGAGGAGTTTGCCATATATACATCCAACATAAGAATTATATCCAGAACATAAAAATAACTCCTACAAACCATTAAGTAAAATGTAGACAACCTAATTTTAAGAGAAGTTAAAGGACTTAAGCAGGCATTTCATATACAAGGATATCCAAATGGATAATGAACATATGTAAATGTGCTCAAAATCACAGCAGTCTTTAGGAAAATGCAAATTAAAGCCACAATGATGTATACCATTACAAATCCACCAGATGGCTAAAAATTTAAATTAAAAAAAATGAATAAATTTTGAAGAAAGTGTGGAGCAATCAGAACTCACACATATTGCTGGTGGGAGTTTAATGTGATACATTTACTTTGGCAAACTGCAATATCTACTAAAAGTAAGCATATACCTACCTGTGACCCAGAATTTCCACTCTTAGGTGTAAATCCAACAAAACTGAATGCATTAGCCTACCAATAAGACATGTACAAAGATGTTTGTACCAGCCTTACTCATAACAGCTCCAAACTGGGAACAATCCATGACCATGAGCTGTAGACTAGACAAATCGTGGAAAATGAGGCAGCAACAATGTGAGTGCCATGATACACACAACAATGTGAATATATTTCAAAGCCACAGCATTGAACAGTAGAAGTCAGTATATGCTGAGGGCGCCTGGGTGGCTCAGTCAGTTACGTGTCCAACTCTTGATCTTGGCTCTGGTCATGACCTCAGCGTTGTGAGATCAAGCCCTGCATTGAGCTCTGTGCTGGGCATGGAGTCTGCTTAAGATTCTCTCTCTCTGCCTCTCCCTGTGCTCCCCTCCCCCCAAAAATATTATATGCTGTATGATACCATTTATATTAAATAAGAACAGGCAATACCGCTTTATGTTAACAGAAAGAAGTATACTGTTTGCAGCATTGGGGTTGGTAATGACTGGGAGGAGACACAATAGAGCTTTCTGGGGTACTGGAAATGTTATATATCTTAATCTGTGTTCTGGTTACATGGGCATACACATAGATATAAAGTCATCGAGCTTTACATGTAACAGTTGTGTGCTTCGCTGAATGTATATGATAAAGCAAGAGAATGATAATAAGTTTCAGAATAGTACTTACCCCGGGGCAAAAGTTGAGGATGGATTGGGATGGGAACCTAAGGGCCTTCAAGTATATTGTTAATGTTCTATTTCTTATGCTTGTTTGTGGGTCTGTAGATGTTTTTTATTCTTTATATGTATTTATATGATATGTATATTATATCATACATTATATATAGGTTTTTGTATATATGAAATATTTCATAATAAATATAAGACAAATGATATAAGGAAAACACTGGTATTTGATTTGATTCCAACAGAGGAAGTAGCTATTCGGCAAACCTCCCTCAAAGTACACATTATAATCCCTTGCAAGCACTTTATTTTATCGTATGTAATGTTAGTAGGCACATACTTTTGCTCTGCTTTTGCTCTACAATGCTGTTAGTAGGCGTATACTTTTATCTTGCTGGAATGCATTTTTCCCTTAGGATAATCTCATAAATATTGTCAGATATTTATCCCACATACTAATAAAAGATAAGAAACACATTTTCCTCAGCACGTTTCTTAAAATGCCCCCAAATCTTTTTGTTAAAAATAAATGCCTTCTACATTGTATGTCAAACTCTTACCTTATGCAGTATTCAAAAGTAAAAGCTAAACTCTTTAGTCAGTGTTATCAAAGTATTTAATAAATAATGGTATTTATACATTTTTAGACATAACCCTGATATTTAATTGAATTCATTTTATTTCCTTTTGTGCAATATGAGGAAACCCCAAGATTGGGTTGAATACTTACAGTGCATGTTAAGATACATGAAGAATTCTTATTTCTAAGTTAGAGGTTCATAGTGAAATAGTAGCAAAAAATATTTCAACTGGTCATATCCTTGGCTAGACTAATAGTGTGCTATTGGAGGGGAATGGCCAAATCATTTCTCATCTCTCATTACATGGAAATAATTCCCTGATAATAATTTAATCTGGATCACTGGTTCATATATTTAAAGTATTAAAAAGTAAAAGCTATCCATATATTTTTTCTCATTTAGATTCTAAAAGTCTAAAATATTAATTCACTTTATGAGAATTTGTTACAAATATGTTTCCTTTATGAGAGTGGGAATTAGATCATATATTTTGTTTTATGTTACTTCTGGTGATTTTTGTCATTGTGGTTTGTGTTTGAGTAACTGAATTACTTCATTTTGGTATGTGTATGGAAAGATGTACTCAAAATACTACTACATCCTATTCTCACAACAAAGTCATGGGGAAAGGAAATTTTGAACATGGGTTTACAAAGTCTTGGAACAACTTGATAATCCAGGACTGATAACCCACAAGCCATGGAAATTAGAGGTGAAGCTAGACTTCAAATAAATCTGTATATCCAGGACTGTTAAAGTGGGGAATAAATAAAACTGCTAACCAGGTGCTTTCAAATTC